TTGCAAGATGTTCCTTTAATTAGCCACTAATCTGTATCGCCGCATTTGCTTCCTGAATTCCTGTTGCCACACAGGTGCCAAAAGGTTTATATTTGCAGTCTCTAGTCATAAATAATGTTGATTGTATTTAAGCGGCTGTAAATGCTGCAGCAGTTAGTGCAATACAAGACTGTAAACATCCCCCGTACATTTAAACGTGAAAGCACCAAAAACCATTGCAGGTGTCATATTTTAACAGCGACGGAGTCCCACAGGACAAACAGGAATCTGATCTCCATAGAGTGGCCGTTTCATTTAGAAAAATAAAAAAAAATAATCCCAAAAACTCAAACTTTGGTATGCTGATATGCACCCAACAGAGTGTTGGTCTCGTTCTACAATCCCTTAAGTTACAGGACGAAATGTCACATTTTTAAATATTTTTCTATTGTTTGAGACAAAAAATTGTTAATTTGTGTTGGATGAAAAAAAAAAGGTTAAAAAAAATAAATTTACTGGTAAACATGCACTAAAAGCAAGATACACAAGACAGACGTATGCAAAAGGAATATTTTTTTATTCTAACATCATATCTGTTATAATAATACTATGCTATGTATATATATATATATTTATATATTTGTATTTATATTTTTACATAGAACACAAGCTACTGAGGAATACATACAGTACAGTCAGCAACATAGAAAAATATTAGAGTAGTATTGGCACGGATGAAGTTGTATTTACTGTACTTTACATGTTGTACAATCAGCAAAAAGAACAGCAGAATGAAATAAATACATAATCCTCACAGTGACGTCAAACTTTTTTTTTTTTTTTTTTTTACATTCAGTTCAAACACATGAAGGGCGACCCGACGATGAGCTGGCCATGATAACACATCTCCTTTCATATCAAACACCAAACATACGCACGCACAGGTGCTACACACGAAAAAAAAAGACTCTCGGTAAAGGGCAATCAAATACAAAAAAGGTTCAAGTCAGCTAGTTTTGAAGGTTGACAGCACTTGCAAGGATCTATTGAGTTTATGGATCACCTCTGAATTCACTCGTAGTTAAGACAGCAGCATAAATGTACAGTTAACACTCTCAGAGACATGTTTAGTCACATAAAACATTTTTTTTCTCTACAAGAACAGAGTTTGGGGTGATGTACATAGAATTTTTTGTTTATTTTTTCTGATTCACTTCTGCAACTTCCAGCGAAACCGTTTACAGGGCAGCCATCCGTCTCATCAAACAGTTTCATATTTGCCCTTGAAGGGGTCGATCTCAACACCTCTCAAACATTTTCTCCCTCCATTGAGTCCCGCTGACCCCTTTGGGTAAACAAACCCTAAACACACACAAAGGAACAGCAAACAAGCGAAAGCCTCATCCATATACAGGACGTGTGTGTGTGTGTGTGTGTGTGTGTGTGTTTGGGGGGTTTGCAGGCTGGGAAATGATGCATGATGCATGGCAGCTCCTACAGATTGCTTACACAGCTTTGCTTAGTGGCTTTTTGAGAACTTTCCCCGCGTCCTAAAGGAGCCCATTTGATTAGAGTCAATCACGGTGACACTCTGCTTACCGTGCAGCAGCTTCCGCACGGAAAAAGAGCACTTTGCGATGTCATCGGTTGTTCTCCGAGACAGCGCGCTTTGAAGACGATACAATGCTTGAATGGCCAAGACGGACAGCCGAGGTTAGTTTCTACAATGAGCGCAGGACGCGACCTTCACATCTTAAAAAAAAAAAAAGAAAAAAGAAAAAGCAGTGCATGTTTTAACACACACACGAAAAAAATAGCTGTTTGTATTTTGTAAAGCTAGTGGAGGTTGATTCAAGGTTGTCAATAAAGTGCACTTGCCATCAAACCAGTGCAAAGGTTAAAATATAGCTCTCTGTATGTACATAACTACATATGCAGCAGATGCACGACCTCCGCTGGATATGAGACGATAACAGTTCTCTAATGTCAAAGTATGTAAACATCACCTGATGGACAGCTCAGCGGTGAGGAAACAGTCCCCACCGCCATGCTGGAAAACAACACTTGGCGTGTGACAGCAGAGGAAGAAAAAATTCAAAAATACTCCTTGTTTAGCTGATGAGAAAAACACGGCATTGTACAAGCTGACGAACACATCAGACTGCTACGACAGTGCTTCCCCGCTATCATCATGCATCACGTTGATTAGATAGACGGTGTGTGAGGGAGAATCTTGGCAGTGGGTCTGTGTTACATCATATCAAGCAGTTTTCTACAAAAACAAAAAGTGATGACACCCTGATTTACACCATTTAAAACACAAGGAGAATTTGCATCTACAGCTTTAAAATGGCTCATAATAAAGGTGATTGCAGTGTATAGTCAGTGTTTTTTTCTTTCACATTATAAGCAAGTAATAGCCAGTCTTGATTATAAGACAGTTTGCTGCCTGCATGCTGCACAGCTCAAGGAGCAACATGAAAATAACTCATATCTGAAGTGGCTTATGGTTGTTGTCATAGTTCAGTAAGTTTGCTTCAATACTGTCCATCACACAAAAAAAACTGCATTTGCTAAGCCCCGCCCATGAATAGCAGTGTCCAATCACAGCTTAGCATCCATAACAAGGTATGACAAGCCATTTAAGCTTTTGAACAACATTGTGAAGCACAGAGTAGTTTGACAGTGTTTAAGGAGGTTACAGAAAGGCAGGAATTATATATCTATGTGTCTATGCATTAAGAGGAAGCAACAGAGGAGAGTTACATCCAGGCCACTATGAGGCATGAGGGGATGATTTCATGGAAAAGCTTCTGCCCCAGAGCCTCTGTCTTCTCTCACTCTCGTCTTGCAGGTTTCTGGCTGGGCGGAGCCTCCAATCTGCTAACCTGGTGCACCTGGCCAATCTCACTGACTATATAAGCCGGCCTGCTGTGCCAGATCGCTCTCTTCTCCTTTACCAGCCATGCTCCTGTGTTTGTCTCTTTTTGTTTGTTTCATGCTGACAACATACACCACACATCAATCACTGCACTCATACACCCTCGCACACCACTGACGCTCACAATCACACCTCACGATTCTACTTTGTTTCAATAAATAGCCTTATGTTGAATCCACCTGTGTGCTTCCTCCTTTGTTGCGGCCTCAGAGCCGGTCGTAATACTTCTAAATGTGCAACTTTAAAAACGCTGAGATGTTTTTCTAGGGGCTTAAATCAGTGACCGTTTTGGCAGTGACTGACTCCTCCCTCACCTTCCCCCCCTTATTCCAACCACCAATATTTAATTATTCAAACAGTGCAGTGTTTACTTACTTTTTAAAACCATTACTTTTCATACTTGATTTTAATATAAGAGAGTATGTTTTGAATGTAGCGCACCTTAAAGGAAGCGCTCTCGAAGTTCGTTTTATCATGTGTACAATGACATTAAATATAATCCAATTTAATAATTCCAAAATGAGCAGAGACGTGAGTTTAGCTGAAGTCGGCCACGGACTGCCAACTATTATTCGAGGCAGCCACACGCCTAATTATGGCCGACTTCTTATTTTATGTCCTAATACAATTTAAACAGGTGTAACTGTCAAGACAGGGAAATTAGCAACACAGATAAACCGCTCTTTGTACCAGGCTGTAAACGCTTCTATTTTAGCTATGAAAAAAAAAAGAACATTTTAATGAGGGGGTCCGTGGGGACTTCCTCACTTTTGGAGACAGCCTCTTGTCGACATTCAAGCAACTGCAGTCTTTAGCAATTGTGTGTTGGCTTTTGAGATGAAGTTGGTGTTAGTTCTGCTCTGCTTCTTACTGGCCACACTCTATCAACGTATCCCCAAGATAGCATTACATTTTTCCTGAATAAAAATTAAGTGTTAGTACTGCTTGAAAATATGCAATCAGAAGCCAAGTAGTCAAGCAGGGTTACGTTAAAATAAAATACTTTTCTTATATAATTTAGTGAAGCCAGAGACGACGTTTTCAACCAAGTCGTGCAGGTTGCATTAGCTTAACGAGCTAGCTACACCTTGGAAAAAAATCTCTCAACAGTTGACAACAAAACCGAGAGCAATAAAAAGTCTGCTCTCTTGTCTTGTGCTGTCTCACAAATTATTACTGTTATTATTGTAAACTGCACATGTTGAGGCTGCAAAGCTGGACGGGTGTGCAGCTAAGACGGGCGGGGTTCAGCAAACTTTCCAAAATTTAGTCGCTCATTGTGTCAATTAGTCAGTGCAAATAATCAAAAAGTGAAAGCTGGTAGAGCCATTCTTATTGATGTACAGTTGAGCATTACTAATTGTATAAAACAAGCAGACTATACTGAACTGGAGGCTACATGGGACACTTCTGCCTGCATTGGACAACACTTTGCTTTTCGTTTGACGGATTTCATGATGGCAACAAGGATCACATTTCAATGGACTACTTACAGTGTGGACACAGAAGCGGATAAAAATAAATAATTTTAAACAATATAATAAATTTCTGTATAAAGGAACATTTAACAAAATACTTCATGTACAATCAAGGGGATAAATGCCGTGCATCTATTGCCTTGGTTCCAGGATAGTGTAAGACTATCATCGGCGTAACCCTTAAAGAAGAATTCAATCAACGACTCGCACTGAAGGCTCTAAACCAACTCTAAAGGGAAAAGCAGGTAAATGCTTTAGACCACAATTAGCATCTGTTAGTGTTCTGGCTGAGAGGTTATTCATAAGGCCAACAAAACATCTACAATCAGTCCTGTCATCGATGTCAGATGTTTTGTTTTGCATGGCTGCATGTCAAACTCAGACTTCTGAGTGAGCAGTTTAAACAGTCACAACACACTGATCCTTAAATAACAGCTGCTTACAATCCTAACAAATGAGATATGCGGTTCTGGCCACTTGGATACCAGGGATTATATACATTACATGTACTGTACAGGGTGAAGGTGAGGACCACGTCCTCGTAATCCAACTCTGCCAACCACCGACAGCATCTGTCCCGTACGTCTGCAGCACTAGCACCGTTATTTGAAGTAGTTGAGCCCCGCCACCAGGAAGAACTTCTCCAGGAAAAGTTCTGAGTCCAAGACAGCGATGTGGGCGGCGCGGCCAATCAGCGTGTTGGCTGTGTTGGGCAGAGCGTGGAACACATTCTGGCGGATCAGCCGGCACTCTTTAGCCTCCACGAGTGGCTGCAGGAGGTTGTTGATCATCTCGGTGTACACGGGCCCTTCAGGGCAAAAAAGGAGGAAAGATGCGATGAGTCCCACTACATGCATGAGATGATGCAGCTTTTAAGAGTAAATGGTGAAAATTGGTCATTACGATTACATACATGTGTTTATAATTACAAGTTTTTCAATCATTGTTGCTACAAAATTGTACAAACATCCTTTTAAAATTGAAAAAAACCACATAATTAAAATTGAACCTTGGCCTGGGTAATAAAATACCACACAGGATGATGGGACACCTGATCGGTAACAACAAGAAAATTGCTCCGCAGAATGACCACTTACATGTATTGGATGCAAACCACCATCAAAACACATAAACAAATGCAGAGTTCGGTTCATAAGCAGCTCAAAGTGTGCGCTCTCCCTGACTGATACATAACTACTCTTTGGTGACTGAATTCCTTTGTGCTCGTTCCATGTTCGCTTCCATGTGGGTCTCTCAAGATGCCCACATCCACAGTCCTCCCCTCCTCAGCCTGCTCTGAGGGCTGACGGACTTGACATGAGGGTGCCTGCAGTGCTCAGTGTCAAGTCCCCCATCCAGGGACGCCTAATCCTGGCCAGCCATCAGGAACCTCGACCCCGACGCGAGCACGGTACCATGGTGGTCTTCCATGTGCCTCCAGGTACCTGATGCTTACAACACCTTCAGTTCAACATTATTTTTGCTAATTTATTGAATCTTATTGATGTTGGTTTACTTTACTTTTGACCTGCTTTCTGTATTTATTACGCTGAGACTCTTCCTGTCATTAATTATTTATTTGTGTGTTTTTCATTATAACATAAAAAAAAAAAAAAGATCAATTAGGCGGTCATGTGCAATTTCATTAAACAATGAACAAAGACACTAAAATGGATTCTGATTCTGATTTTTGATGTATTAAGAAGGTCCCTGAAATGAATCCCAGGAGCTTCAGCAGAAATCAATAGCAGTAGAAAGATTTCTCTTGTTGCTTCTTGAAGACATTTCACCTCTAATGGCTAATGGCCATGTGAGCTGGAGCGACTGTAAATTCTCCCCTTTAGTCAGTTAGAAGTGAAGAAGTCACTGGGACGAGACGTGAAACCTCTTTAGGAATCTACAAGAGAAGTCCAGTTGATTTCTACTGAAGCTCCTGCGATGACCTGGGATGTCTGGGAATCTACACACATGTGTCACTAAAATGAATAAAAGATCATCAACGTTGACTAAAATAAATCATTTTATTGTTACGCATTGTTCAGCTATATCCCCAAATTAACCTGTATAGAGCGTTAGTTCAGACAGGCACGGAGTCAGGCGGTCACATGGCCCCTCCTGTCCAATCATCATCGCTAAAGTCCAGTCCACCCACTTAGCTGCTTTATAACTGAGGCAGCGTTCATTCATTCTGCCCGCTTCATGCTCACCACATCGCTGCTACTCCAGCCGTCTGCAGATCCACAAATCTCCTCCTCCTCAACCACCACCTTTTAAAAACAGTTCAATCTCATATAACCCAGGTGTCGCAGATGGTTCATTATTGTACCTTGAACTATGTAATGTAGATTCTGCAAGTGGAGACTATATAGTCGGTCTCCTGTTCTCGTGTTCATACCGTATTTGAAAAATTGTAAATTGTAAATTCATGGCTCTGCGGGGGTTTGTGATCTCAGGGATTATCTGTGTCATGCTTGCGCAGATCGTTCCAGAGCATCACGAAACTCAATGTATGTGATCCCAAATAAATGGTTAAATCTGACAAAGTGTCCTGTCTGAAATGTTTTTTTGTTGAAGCCACTGTGGCCAAATGTGGCAGAATATACAGAATGTGTTAAATGTTAACATGTAGTGTAAAATTTGAGCTAACAACCTGCCGCAGAAGGTGTCAAGGTGTCAGTTACACATCAGTATGTATCTTAAGTGTGCCGCCATGAGCTGCTGGTTCTATCAGATCAAGTCAGTTATAAAACTAAACCCCCGAGTGTGTTGAGCTGGTCCAGGATGAATTCTACCACCAATACAAAGAACACATGGTTCCTTCTTTCATAAATTACACACTTGCACTTTAACTGATCAGCCGAGTTCAGGATTAGTGCTCAGTAGCTACACACTGAAGGTACTGAGGCAGGAAAAACCAGAACGTTACACACAAATACCCGACAGAAGAACCCATGAAAGCATGAATGTGTGTACTGACCTGTGGTTCTGTCTTTGAGAGCAGTTTTGCACATCTCTATTCTGGCAGAGTGGAACGGAACATAACGGTCCTGTGGAGACGCCACCAACACCACGTTCTTGAAGAACTGGAGCCCTGAAATGACACAAAACAAACGAGTGAGAGAGGCTGCAGAGAGAGAGGCAGAGAGGGCACGACAGAGGAAGAGGAGTGAATCAGTTGTAAAATGCAAAGTACAATCACAAAGTACAATGACAGGCTTGATACGATAAAGCTGTGTTTTTTATTCTCCAGTCTCCTGTGTGTGCTTTTAAGAGAGTGCATTGGTGGGTTTCCAATGACAGGGTTTGGATCATTTTGTCAGCCTGCCACAGCTCTAGAAGGGGAAGAAAAAAAGGAAAAAAAAACGTTTTCAGGCTTATCTTCTTCAAGCCTGTGTGACAAACGACTGCTTTGTTCCACTCACACAGTGGGGAGGCCTCTCACAGGCCTCTCACAGCTCGCTGGCAGGGGTTTGAGTGTTAGCGAGCTGACACATACAGAAATTTGACAAAAAAAGACAAGATGACAACATTTTCATGAATATTTGAACAGACTGTCTTTCAAGTAATAGTCTGTAAAGTGAGGCAGTCAATATACTGCCTCTGTTTCACATTTGGCTGCTTTCATCCCGTACCTGGTTTCTGACTCAGGAGATAGAGGAATGTTTTCCGTGGATCTACATGATCTCTGAAGGTGAGCTGCAGCAAGGATCCCGATTTCTTCAGCTTCTGCATTAACCAAAGACCTGAGCAACACACACACAAACAAACATGCAGTCAGTCCTCCGCAGCCAGCAGCAGAGCAGGATGATATTCTTAGATAAAAGACTAAATGCTGCTGAGAAATGCAATATGCTGAAATGCAGCACATCTGCGGCGTGCCTTCTTCCCGGACCTGAGCGGTGGCCTCACCTGTGCTGACCAGCGCGCTGTTGTTGTACAGCGTTCCCAAGTGTGGTCCTGACAGCGAGAGGAAAGTGTGCAGTTTGGGCAAATAGCAGCGGAAGCGAGGCCTCGTCAGCACCGAGCGGATGATGATGTTCCCCAGAGAGTGGCCGATGAAGCTGTTGGCCGAAGACAAACAACTTTCAGAGAGAGAAACTTGCAGCTTGAGTGGGCGGCTGGGAGAAGAAAAAAAAAACACACACACAGTGCCTCCAACGCTGCTGACCTACGACACTGTGCAGCCGCTTATCATAGACTCCTCTGGAAGCAGGAACTGGTTGCAGCTATTTTAGAGATTCGTGCTGCAACGTTTGGTAATTAGAGAAAATTCATTAACTTGTTAAATGTTTAAACATTATCAAAGGCAAAGACAACTTAATGTTGCTAATATAGAGGACATGCCATGTGAATTAATAGCATCTTCGCGGCAGTGGGAAATATTAGACTCATCAGGCTATGTCTGTCACTTAGTTTAATTACTGTACTGCTGCAGCTCTACCCAAAATCCCTCATCGGCACGCCTGCTCCTTCTCATCTGTCTCCCACCAAACTAAATATAGAGGTAATGTGGAAAGAACCAGATGCTGTTGTGGCAGTCCATTGCTTTTGTCTTTGATACTCGTTCTCTAGAGAATACGTCACAATAAGAGAGTTAAGAAACTTGGGTAGAAACTCTCACAAAGAAATAAATTGGCACATTGAGGGCAATTAAGCAGGAAGATGAATAGCTTAATTTGATTGGAAACAGGCTGCACAGTGCTGCACAAAAGAGCACCGTCTATCAAGTGAAAGTCAGAAGCTTATTGGCACTATATGATAAGAGCTTTTCATCCATTTTGTGCCACTTACCCATTTGGAGTCTATACATTATCACGTAACAGTGATCCTCATAAGTTAAGACGTTCGTGCTGAGCACAAGAATCAATGCGCAGTCTCTGCTGCCATCTGCTGACCACACTAAACGCTGCCTCTTCTCTGTCGCAAATAATCAATCAAAATCAATCAGAAGGAGGTTTGTCAGTAATGTGTACGCTGCGGCGTGTTAAACCTGAGCGACTGACCTGATCCTGCCTATGGTGAGATTGTACAGCTGGATATGCTGAATGATCTCATCCAGCAGCCTGTCTGTCATGGTGTCGAAATCTGCAAACGTGTCAGCCTGTAGGGGGGAAATGGCAGAGAAAAGCACGGCCGTCAGCGCTCTGCAAATTGCCTCGAAGCGCTTTCGCAGAACGTGAGCGCGCAACGTGACACGGCGTTTGCTCCCGTCGCCATCAGACACACCTGGTTCCTCTCAGACATGAGGAAGTCGAGCCTGGATCCCGGCAGACCCAGCTCGATGAACGTCTTCACCAGCCGAAGGTCCGCGCTGTTTCCTGGAAGCAGAGGAGGACATTACACCCACAAGTTTGCAGCTCAGCTTTTATGAACGGTGTCTATTAATCATTTAACAGATTACCTGGAATGTGTTGTGAGGAATTAGCATTCACAGACTTATACACTTTCAGATGGTAAGACATATTCTCATATTACATTCACAATGCTAATAGGAATCTAAAACAAGGATGTGCAGGATGTGTCAGTTTAATAGCTCTAGTGGGGGAATTGGACTGCAGCGAAGCAGAACATTTAGATGTGTGCAGCCTTACCATCCAGCCCGTGGACACACACCACGAGGTGTATGCCATCATCAAACTCCTCGTCGTCCTCCTCGGGGGGGAAGTAGGGCAGATCTGATGCCAGCAGAGGAAGGTCGCTGTACAAGCTGGCCTGGAAGCTCAGCTCTTTTAACAGCTCCTCCTTGGCTTTGTAGAAACTGGAGGAGAGGGAAATGACATTTTGAAAAAAAAGAAAGCGCTATTATATTCTGTATGTTAGCAATAAAATGAAGAATTTTCCTTTAATGTGCAAAAAAAAAAAAAAAGCTGATCTAAGATTTCATTCTACCAGAAAGTTAGCATAACACTTACTGTGCATTTCTTGCAGTTTTCACCCTTTGGGGTCAAAATCTAATAGAAAACCTACCCTGCATCTCTGTATTTGATTAGTAACAGTTCACTCTTCCCACTTCCGAGCAAACCAAAGGCGTCTAAACAAAAGTTGAAGACTTACAAGTAAGCTCCTCGAAGTTTCATTAGCCTGTCATCCCGCCAGGTTACAGATTTTGTCAAAACAAATCCGATTCCAGTTCCTGTACTCCCAACTAATCAGGATGGATTTGTCTGCGCGCTCTTTGATGTGATTTAATACACTCAGGAGGCATTTCACCTCGTCTTGACTTGCTCGCTTCAAATTTCCCCTCACTTCATTTTGTTATGCTAGACTTTCCAAGGATGAGTAACTGCCAGCGACTGCACCAGATGTCAACAGCCGTCTCCCAATACCCATAAAGCCTTGTGTTTTTGGCCTTGTTTCCTGCAGTTGGTGTGGATTATAATCTCACTCCTACAAATTTTTCCTTTGGGACGACAGCCCAAATATTTAGAAATGTTATTTACTGACATACAAGTCAGAAAGGCATTATTCTCCCTTGCCTGAACACTCGCAACACGCTTTCAAGTTCACCCCGAATCAAAAAAGCCACGACTTATTGAAGTTGAAAATCTTGTCAAAAGCGTTTTTCGAGTTCAGTGTTCGGCGAGAAGCAGTTATACATCAAAAAGGTCTCCGAGCCTTTGATTGGAGAGGACATGTTTGATTGATAGTTGAGGAGACAAGCGCCATGATGCTGCGTTTCAGACAACTTAAACATAACTGACCTTGCACTTGGAAAAAAGTACGACTCTGGAAGAAGAACATTTGAGAAACTTGGGCCAGCCATTTCCACTCTGACATCACCCAGAACAGTGAACATGTATGTCGACACCCTGAACGGTGGGTAACCAGCATATAGCCTTATAGACAGCTCCTTAGCCTAAAACACTGTAAACACTGTTTTACTCAATGTCAAACTCTCTTAATGTGCAGGTACAGAGGCATTCTGCCCGCAAGAGAGCTAATGCTACTTACAAAGCTAATGAAAGCTGCAGCTCAATATCAGTTTATCTTTTTGAGTTGCGTAGCAGGATGCCGTTAGTCAGCATCACTGAGTCACAGAGGTGTAGTACGAACGGAGAAAATATCATTTCTATTTCTACAAACCTTTTCCAAAGAGACCTCTCACAGACTAATTTGACTTTAGCTACAGCAAATCTATGGAACACTTTGTCCTCTTCTAAACACCCAGTTCAGCAAAAGCAAAAACTCACTTTAGCATCCGTTCATTGGTCTCGTCGTCCATGTTCAAGGGGCTGAGCGAAGACGAGGAGATGATGCCAAAGGATCCCAGGGGCTGATGGGTGATCGGTGAGGTAGCCTGGCGAGTGGACATTCCACTGATGGAGGGGGAGTCTCTCAGCACAGATGAAAATGGCAGACAGGTTGGGGCGCATGACACGGACATGTTCACCACCTCCACCATCTTCTTGTTCACGAAGGCCAGCCCAGAGTTAGGGATCTTAGAGGGCTTGTTCTGGCCGTCCAGAGGCTCTTTCTCACCGGCTGGTATCCCATTCAGCTCAGCGGACGATGCGATATCACTGGCTGTCAGCCCCGTGAGGTCGCTCGGCCTCTGTGTGGTGGTGGAACTGTTGGGGAGGTCATCGGGGTGTGATGGTTTTATGGGTATCTGCGAGGGATCCAGATATTCCTGTTCCTCAACACTGAGCAGTTTGCTCTTTTGGAAACTTTGGCACTCATCTCCAGTGCTAATACTCTCCTGATCTGCCACACTTTTATGCACACATGGTTTGTTTCCACAGCTGCAGGGCGCTGCTTCCGATTCAACAAGATGCACATCCTCCACTGAGGCGCTTACTCCATTCATGTGTGTTTGATGGTTCATATTCTCCCTGTGGCTGCCAATAACAGCGTTTTCTCTCACATGAGGGCTTTCTGCAGACTCTTGTACGAGCAACACTTCAGACACACCACTTAACACCGACTTGATTCTGTAAGTCTCTGACAGGTACTGTGGAGAATTTGACTTTTCAGAGCTAATATTCTCCTTGAGAACGTGGCCAAGATTTGCTGCTGAACTCGTGTCTATGGATAATTCAGATTGCTCTGAATCCAGGTTGCTGTTCAGAGAAGAACAGTTTATCCTACATGAATCCTGGTGTCGCACTAAGCTCCTGCTCTCCGTTTCCTGGCCGAGCAGCATGTGGTCCTCCTCTGCGTCTTCCGGGCTACTTATCTGCGGTGCGGAGACGGACTTGGTGAGTTTGCTGAGCTGCCTCTGCTGCTGGTCCTCCTCGTAGGGCAGGGAACTGATAGAGGTGAGTGAGGCCTGTATACCCCCACTTGGAAGGCTGCCATTGCTCTCCATCTGCAGGCCTTCCAGAGAGCTGCGGTGGACCGGGTGGTGACACACTATTTGCTGTGGGATCTCCCGTTCGCTGGAAAAGTCCAGGGGAGGCCGACCTCGCAGTGCGACCTCCACGGGCCACGCCACCGAGCTTGGCTCGCTTTCAATACCTGAGTCAGAGATAACAGAGGACGAGCGCTTCATGATCTTGGAGCCAACCAAGCCTCCACGATGAGTCATCTCTTTTCTGAGTTCACCGGGAAAGGGAGGTATAACTGGATGCATATAGGCAGTGGGTAGGCTGCTAAGAGGGACATCCTCACTCTCATCGTCCATGGAGTGATTTAAAGGCATGGCAATGTCAGACTCCTCTTCGTTGTTTTCATTCTCCGCTGCATTGCTGTGGTTTGCGGCATCACAAAGCTGGATAATTTCTGTTGCATGACGAGCAGGGGACTCCTCTCTGCTGTGAGCAGAATCAACGAAGGGATTGTGGTTTGAGGAGACATCCTGAGGAGTCTCTCCTCTGCATGGATCCACATCACAAGGCTTCACGGCGATGTACTTCTGACCAGAACTACAGCTCTTCTCATCTTGGCCGTTCTTCTTCGCTGGTTGCTTCAAGTTTTCGGCCTCTGCCAGAGAAAATACAGCACTGTCCTCAGTGGGATTGAGGTTTTGGGTCGTTTTGACGTTCTTACTCTGGTCTGCCATGAGTGAGACATACGTGGGCAGGTCCATGCATTCATCACTGTCCAAGGAATCCTGGGGTATTGCTGGTGATCTGACTCCCTGGCTGCTTTCAAGAATCCTGTTGGCAGGAGTGATGGTGAGATCTGAGTTGGTTTGCTCATCGGTGCTTGCAAGCATTGGCACATGTGTTACCCACTCTGAAGAGACAAGGACAGTCCGAAGCAGAACAACAATTCAGTCTTGAGACAATCAGCATTGATATGTGAAAAAAAAATACAAAATTAAGATGCACATTTTGTATAACCTGTTTGGGGAGACTCCACATATCTGTCCTCAAAGATGATGGGCAGGCTGTTCCAGTCTCCGTCAATGTCCAGGCACTCAACAGGTAAAGGAGGCATCTTGGTCAGGTAGTCTGAACTCCGCACTTCTGCAGCTATCTGGCCGTGTCTGTTGATTCTGAATCAGAAAAACAATCTAAATAACACTCTTCCTGCAACCCAGAGAAAAAAAAAAACCTTTGAGAGGACTGGTACTTACAGTTCCTCTTGAAATGTCAGCGATATCTCTTTGGGGTGTTCGGTGAAGAAGTACGCCTCTGAGAACCTCCTGACCTGGTGTTTTCAGAAACAGATACAAGAAATTTCACTGTGGTGGAGCTTCAGTCCCATCTTTAATTCCATTAGCATATGAGATGGTAAAAAAAAAAGAGAAAATCACCGTCTGTGCAACCAGCTCACCCAACGCTTTCTCTTTCTATAGCTGCAATTAGAAATGCATCACCCTCGAGAGTCAGCCAATATGACAGGCAAATCACCAAGAACACTGTTTCTGGTGTGTTTCCACCCCACAATAATTACAGAATAAGTGTTAATTGAAATTCTAACTCCACTGGTAGGGTGGAGGCATGACGATATCCCCTCAGGGTAATCTAATACTAAAGCAAACATGTTCATTATTTTCAGACAACTGAGACGAAACAGAGCTGCATAATAGAGCCTCGAGAGCTACTCCACTGTGGAGCACATATTCACATTAAACAGCCCAGTGATTAGATAGAAATTGCACTGGAAATCACATCAGCCTCTTCAGCTATTAAGGTCGCGAACGGCATCTTATCATTTTACTAATTCCCTCTGTAGCACTTGCAGCTCACAGATCATCATGTAGGTAGACGCTTCTGTATTTACAGTCCACTCAGGTAACTTTCTAAAAGAATTTGCAGTCGCTGTGGTATTTTTATGCATATGTTTTATACTTATGGATGTCTCGAGAAAAAAAAAATCCCTTTATTCTCACTTTTATATCATCCTGCTTTATTGTTTTATACATTCCTTTATGAGGCTGGGGTACTGATCCCAGGTCTGCTGGTGCTGTCGTTCTGTCTCATGCAACATAATGACAATGAGATGGAGTTTGCCTGGCCTCATGTTTTGTGCTGCAGGTCTGAGGTCAGCACATGAACGGACTGCCACAACACTGAACTGACAAAGAGCAGTAACTGCGCCTGTTGTTTTAATGCTAATAGGTTTAGGGCAATATAAACACAGCATATCATACTTCAGAACTACTCCTCTTTATGCTTCCTGTGCTCATGTTATTATTGATGCTGTGTGAACCATTAAACAGCAAATCATGAAAACATGACTTTTGGCAGAACCCTATTCAAGACTTTTGGGGTCTTTCGGACCCCAGGCCATTTGGTTCAGGTGGTAGGTATTGGGGTTTTTTTTAAATTATTATTATTTTTGAACATTTTAAAATCTTAAAAGAGGTCACGCATTTGGCACCAAAAATACATCAACTTATCAGAAGATGTATTTAACATAGTATAAAAGTCTAGAATGAATACCAACAATGGACCCCAAGAAAGACCTTCTATGTATGGCAACATAAAAGTCCTGAATAGGGTCAAACGTGGACATGCTTGATGAAGTGATGCCAATTTTTTGGATAAAGCATGACATCCTCATTTTCTGTTATCTTTCTGTAATCTTTAGCTCAGGTGATGTGTAAAAATTATCTTCACCTTTTCATAAAAACATAAAACTTGGTGTATTTGTACAGTGTGTTGCCTTGAACATTTTCCAAAATGTAGCCATTGCTAATACGCCTCTTTCCGGACAAGAAAGCCATTTTATTTGTCAACATAACCATATTATATATTTTGTACCACATCTCTTCTACTAA